GAGGGAGAATCTGTTGTTGGTTTAGTTGATTTTTGTTTTGTTTTGTTTGGGGGCCAAATCCAGCGGTACTCAGAAATTACTCTTGTTCTGCACTTAGGAATCACTCTGGCAATGCTTGGTGGACCATATGGGATGCCGGGGATCGAACCTGGGTCAGTGGCATGCAAGGCAAGCACCCTACCCACTGCACCATCACTCCAGCCCCAGTTAGGGTGATTCTAATGAGCAGACAGCCCAAGTTTGGTTGTTCTTCCATTTTGCAGGGGGGAGCTTGTCAATTGCCCAGTGGGTTCCAATCACAGCTGGTGTGACGGGAGGCTGCTCCTAACTCTGTGTTCACTCCAGGCGGTGCTCAGGGACTACTACTAACTCTGTGCTACTGTAAAGCATGACTGCCAGGGCCCCCAGCATGTCCTAGATACAGAAACTTGCTTTGCAGGGGGTTGAAAATCCTCCAGCAAAAAAGGAGAGGTGGGAGAACCTCAAAGCTGGAACCCTAGGACAGCAGCTATGACACTAGCCATGACACAGTTAATACCGCTTACAACCCCCCCCCCCCCGCCCCCAGGGTGTGGTCAGGATGAAAAAAAAATCTCAGCCCAGGAGTGAAAGGACTGTAAAGTGTAGCCTACCTCCAAGGGGTAGGTTGGAACCCAATTGGTGGGGATGAGCCCTGGCTACCGGGAGCACCTGGTCATGAATACCCATCTGGGCTTACCTCCTTCTTCAGCTCCCCATTTTCTTAGCTCTTTTTCTGCAACTTCCTCCTGAAGAAACCATCAAAGTCTTGAAATACTTGTCATCATATGCCTTGTAGGCACTGTGTACCCGGAAGGGTCCCAACCAGACTTAGCCTTCTCCCAGTCCCAGACTCACCACCCACTTCCAATCCTACCAACTACCAGGCCCCCTGTGGTGCTGGCTTCTCATTCCAGTACCACCTTCTCGCCTTCAGGGGCCATGGCAGGGAGGGTCCACGAAGTCATGGGGTGCCCGTGCAGAAAGGAGAGTCCCTATAGCCACTCATCCACAGGCTTTGGGAAGTCCAATTTGCAGAATCCAAGATGCCATCTGCCCCAGGGTCTATTCCTGGCACTGGTTGTTTCTGGTGATCAAGTGACAGTGGACAAGTCAACTCCCCTCTCTGAACCTCAGTTTACCTCTTGATGACTCTGCTTGAAGTTGGAGTAAGACACAGGAATTCTAAGATGACAACACGCTGCATGGGTGCCAATGTTTAGAAAGCAGCTTCTGTCCTGTTATTTCCCCATTATGTTCAAATAGTAGCCTTTGAGGAATTAAAAAAGATTTCTTTAAGGATGGATGTAGCTCAGATTGGAGAGTTCTTGCATGTGTGAGGCTCTGAGTTTGTTCCCCAGTGTTGCAGAATTAGTGTGGGAAACTCTGTGAGAAAATAAATTAATCCAAACCAAGTTGGCACACGCTAGCCAAACTGAAGCTTGCTGATGTCTAAGAAAAGAAACTCTCCTGTATGGATACAAGTCAATGCACAGGGTGGCAAAGGCAGCGGGCCTGCAATAATTAAAAAGTAGCAAGGAGCCAGAGAGTACAGCAGATGAGCTTGCTTGCCTTGCCTGCAGCCCACCCCAGTTTTGATCCCCAGCACCAGATATGATCCCCCAGGTGCGAGCAGAGTGATCTCTGAGCGCAGAGCCAGGAGTAAGCCCTGAGCACCGCCAGATGTGGCCCCAAACCCTCAACTTCCCCTCCACTCCCCAAGAGAAAGAAGAGTTAGGAACAATTTTCAGACCATCAGGAGGGATACTAAAATTGTGACAGAGAATCCATGGCAAACAGATGTTGAGGCTACCAAGGGAGACGAGAGGAAAAGGAGATGAGCTGGGACTGGCAGGTGAAGAAATGCAGCAGCACTGTCCACCGTTTTATTGAGGTACAATGGGCATACAATGAACTGCATGTTTTGAAAGTGCACAATCGGTAAGTTTTGACAGATCCACCCCGAGATCCACTAATACAGTGAAGAAAATGTATACGTCCGTCATCTCCAAAGATACCGACTATTCCATTTTCATCTTCCTGTCTCTCCTCTAAACAATTCCTTCTCCCCCACTCTGGATTAGCTTTTTGTTTTCTGGAAGGGTACATTAGTGGAGTCAAACAAAACAGGAACTCAACTGGTTTCTTCAACTCACATTGTTTTTAGTCTCATCCATTCCATTATGTGTGTCATTCCTGCTTAGTGCTAGGTGGTGTTTATTATATGGATACACTGCCATTGTTTTTAATATTTCTCAATTTACAGGCATTTCTATTGTTTCTGTTTTGAGGCTCCTACAATAAAACACTTTGTAGATTTGGGTAGACATATGCTTTAATTTTTTCTTGCAAATATTTAGGGACAGAGGGGGTGGAGCATATTCAATGGTAAGTATTATTTGAACTCACCTTCCCTTTTGGGGCAGTATCAGGAATTAAACCCCAGGGTCTCATACATTCAAAACAAGTGCATTACCATTGAGTTACATCCATGGACTCTATGTGTATACTGAACTTTTAAATAAGTCGCCAAATTGTTCTCCAAAGGGGGAGAACACTTTTACACCCTCCCCAATAACATACAAAAGTCCCCATTGCTCTGAATCCTTATCAATACATGTTATGGTCGGTTTTTGGGTTTGGGGTTTGGGGCAGAGGTGGTGGTGGTTTGTAACCATTTAATTTTGGCCATTCTAAAAAGTTACATGATGCTCTTTAATTGTGGTTCTAATTTGTATTTCCTTAAGTGACAGCGAAGCTCCAAGTACTAGCAACTAGAAAATTGAAGCTCTACAGGAAATTCAAGGTGTAGACTGAGATGCAGAAAGAAACCAGAAAAATGTGGCATCACACAAGTAAAGCCGAGAAACGACTCACAGGGACAACAGCTGATCTTCGAGTGATGTTAGGAGAAGGGGCAGAGATTCTGTAAAGGGTTCAGTGGCTCTGGCGACTTTCTCCACAGATGGTCCAGCAGCAGTGGGTTCCAGCTTCCAGCCTCTTCGCATGCATTCAGAGGAAGTTCCATCTACCCGCTACGGTCTCTAAACCTTCTCAGAGCTCCTGAGATGAAAATACCAGTCGGTACCTCTTGGCAGCAATTTCGCAATTTGTGGAAGGTGGGGTACCACCGGCTTCTTCCCTGGGAAGCCAACTCTAAGACCAACATCAGCACACACCAGGGTTGCTGCGGGGGAGTGATAGGATGATCAGCATCTAGGGGAGAAGTTAGGCTCTGATCCAGGGCTCAGACTGCTCCCATACAGAACTCTGGAGCGGAGCAAGCCCACCAGCCTTGGACTCTTTCCCTCCCCTGTCTGTGTCCTGCAGCCTGCCCAAGGAGCTGGGGTGACCATGGGTGAGTCAACTTTTTCCAGGTCAGGACAACTCCCATAACTGACGACTTCAACCAGTAATGCCCCAGATGTGCATTCTCTTTAGTGTTGGAAAGGATCTGGACAGCAAGCCCCACTGTCCACTGCAAAGAGGGTCTCCTCCAAGCTGCTTGGTTCTAATCACCCCAGCCTCCACCCTCTGCATGGGAAGCCACTTCCTGTAGCTTTCAGTGCTAAACTACTTCAGAGCTTCCTTTAAAGTTTCTCTCACTGTCCTATACCCACTGTGATGTTTCCTTCCACAGAACTCCAGGGTTTTCTTCCCGTATGCTCCAGTGATGTGTTCTTCCACCCAGAGTACTGCAGAACAGGTAGGGCAGGTGGGAAGCTTTGAATGATGCTGAATGATGCTCAGCTCACCTATAACCCAAAGAGGCTGATCTGGGAGGCAGGATTGTTCTGCTTTCACCTCACACATATGCACTGCCAGTCATCTGCAGTGCAGCCTGGGGTAGCAAATGGCCCGAGCACACGCACACTGCCTCCTCGGCTGTCTTCCTGCAGGTACGAAGCTCCTTCCAGCCTGAGTGTGATCTGCTTCCTGCATGTCCACTGACACAGGAGTAAACTAAATGTCTCTCTGGTCACTGCCTGACTGTCCAACTACATGGAGAAGAGACTCGGGCTCAGAGACAATCAGCTAAAAAGTAGTATCCACGGGCATCACTGAGGAAGGCACGAAGCAATGATTTCTGAGTTTTCACTTTGGGGGTTTAATTTGGGGTTTTGGGGGGTTGTGGTTTCCAAGCAACGCCCACTCTGATCAGGAGGCCAGAGAGATCAAAGTTTAGTCCCAGGTATGCAGTGCTGCTCAGGTCCAGCAGTGTTTGGGGGCCAGGGCAACTATACCAGGTGGTTCTGGGTGGGGCGGGGTGGCACAGAGTACATGAGATAGAACCAAGGCATGTTCTCCAGCTCTCGAAGCTATTGCCCCAGCTTTTTCTGATTATATCAAATCTGCTTGGATAAGACTAAAATGTCAGAGGACTAAGAGATCTTGTGTCTTCTTGTGTCTTCCCAAGAAAGAGAGACCTTGCCCATTAAGCATCCATTATACTTTGCTGTAATCATACTGGTTTTAGGAGATGTGTCTGAACAATCATTTTCTGGCTCTCCTTACCCACCTGAGGAAGTAATCAGAATACAAACCCCTTCTGTCATTTGCAGCCAAGTTTTATTAATACAGAAAAGACCTCACCATTCTTTTTCTCTCACTTCAGGGAGTTTAGACCCTGTTTCAGTCAAGTTTAGCCCAGCACCATCCATGTTATATTCCAGGAATTTGATCACAAGGTGAAAGATTGAGGAGACACTGGTATTCACTACCATGAATATCAATATCTCCTCCCTGGAGACAAGTCCTTCACATCCAGAAAGGCTCAAACATACAAACCTGAAAATATGTCACGACATCTTACAATAAGACTCAAGTTTATTTTGTAAAATATGCCTTAAAATATACTGTCTCTCCTTCTCTTGATTCTCCAGCGATCAGAGATCAGCGTTTTTTTCCTTCATCAGTATTTTCAGTCACTTTCCGAGCACTTCCTCCTTGGTCCTCTTCTGGAGCAGAGCCCGAATCAGAGCAGATGCTGAGGCGAAACTTACAAGGTCGCCTGCTCCACAGCCCGCTTGTGCAGGCCCTGGAAGTGGCCCTCGCCACTGGGGGGTGCCTCCTTTGGTAGGCGGACCATGCTGGATTTTCTAGCACTTTCGATCCAGGGGTGCTGAAGAACTTGGTGGGCTGTGTAGCGCTTTTTGGGATCTACCACCAGCAACCGGCTCACCAGATCTTTGGCAGCTGTAGGGGTGAGAGGAGAGTGACATGAGAGGAGTGCAGAAGCTCTGACCTTCCCAGTCCCAAATTAAGGAAAAACATTCACACCAGCATCGCTTGCAACACTAGCCGGGCTGTGCCACGATTTATGGTGATGGAAACTTTTCAAATCTGCACTATCCACATGGGAGTCCTGAGCAGAGGAAATGTGCAGCTAACGTATCTGGGGAACCGAAAGTAGATTGTACTGATATGAATGCATTTGAATTTAAATAGCAAGGAATGCCAACAGGCTACCACATTAGTCAGGGCAGGCTGAGGAGATGTTTGCTCATTTCTCTAGGGTCCCAAGACCCACCACTTCCACACCAGACGCTCGCAGGAGAAAAACAAACACAGGCCACATGCTACACGTCTACAGAGTTAAAAAAAAATTAATGAAATTATCAAGCTTCCAAATAAAATATATTCAACCTTCCTAAGTTGATATATATATATGCCTTCAAACTGACTAAGCTAAAACACATGAGTCCTTAACGGTCATGATCCCAGAGACACACAAAAGAATCTCAGAATTGAGTAGCTTTTAGCAGAAATGCCTCTGGACTTTGCGTTAGGCCACCTTCACTGGGCCACCCCAGATGGGAGCAGGTGCTGTCCCTCCACCTGTTCCCTGGGAAGCCTGGCATCTGCCATCTTCTAGAACACATTGGAAAATTTAGGCATGGGCCAACAGAGATGACACATGCCTGGCCTCATGGGACAGGGGAGGAGCCGGTCCTTCTCCTCCCCGCCCCCCATCCCGACAGGACCCTGAGATGCTGCCCACAAACAGCCCCCGGCTACTTATTAAGCAGCTTAATGGTCATAATCCCAGAGACACACAAACAAATCTCAGAACCAAGTTACTCTTGGTAGAAATCTCTCTAGACCCAATTATTAAAAAATTTTGGAATTCCAAGATCGCACAGCCACTCTTACAGCTGTGCGACATCATGTGTTATTCATGACCAGCAATAGAAAACAAATTATCTAACATTGCCTTTTCAGGAGGCCTGAGTGTTGGGGGGAAATTCCAAATAATAATGGTGGGACTGGTGTCAAAATATTGAATGTTATCAAAGTAGAGAGAGAGAGTAACGTGGAAATTATTTGCCACACAGGCAGGGGCAGGGGTGGGATGGGGGGTATAGTGGTGTTGTTGGTGATGGAAAATGTGCACTGGTGAAGGGATGGGTGTTTGATCATTGTACGATGGAGATTCAAACACGAAAGCTTTGTAACTGTTCTCACGGTGACTCAATAAATAAATTTAAATAAATAAAAAATAAAACACATGAGTAAAGAAATTTAAGCAATCTAATAGCACACATTCAAAATAAATTTTGTTTTCTGCCCAAGACCATGACTGATGAGAGACTCGGTGGCAAATGGTGGACCGGGGCCCTCTGGCAATCCCAGGCCAACTCCCTGAGCCCCTTCTGCAACCACTCGAGCAGGTACAGGAACAAAGCACCCACATTACCTACATCTAAAGATACACCCACCTGTCACCCTTCCCTTTCCTGCCACCTGGCTACCTCATGAACAGCTACCTCCTGCCCTGCCTAGGATTCACAGGATTCCTCCAAGCGTACCCTGTTTAAACTCTACCACAAAGGCCCCAGCCCCTACCCCAAGAGCACTGCATGGGGAGAGGGTCAGATGGGAATGATGCTCAGGCTTGCATGTCCACAAAGAAATAACTGGTCCCCCTGCCAATGTGTCCCCTTAAGTGATGATTTCCTGGCCACTCTTTGGCACTTCAGGGGGGAGAGTGAGATGGGGATAAAAGAGGGAAAGTGGAAAAATCACTTCAACCTGAAATTTTGGGTTTCCAGTTAAGGGGGAACCCTGGCACAGAGGAACTCACGCCCTGAGACCTGTAAGTCTCCTGACTCCTGGACCAGGACAAGCTCTCTAAGGCAAGGGGCCTGGGGCAGCTGAGACTTCCACAAACTTTACAGAACCATTTCCAAACCAAAGCCCCCTCCCCACATTGCCACTGTCGTGATCAGCTCAGGACCCTCATGCACTGAGTTACTCCTTCCCCACCCCTTATTTCAGGAAAAAACTGATGCTTTTTAACCTTCTTTTTCTCACACACGCACACACATACATGCATACACAAAGGCTGGGGTTGCAGGCAATGCAATAACTGGTCTTAAGTGATATATTTATGAGAAGTGGATAGGATCAAAGACTTCAAACCCCCAATTATCTAGCTCTCAATTTCGTAGCGGTGAGGCAGACAAATCCATTAAAATAAGAGGCCAGAATCCCATTGTAAAAAGGTCCCAAAGCAGGAAGCCGCAGGCTTCTGTTGCTCTGAAAATCAGTGGGCCTTCATCCCTCACTTTCCAGAGCCCCTGCGGATCTCCACTGTGCCCCTTCCAGGACCCTGATTATTTACGTGCAGTAGATGAGGTCCAGCTGCCCCATCCACAGACACAAATATGACAGCTCCGACCTTCCCAAACAAGGGTTATTAACGCTCTGGTTTTTTTTTTTTTTTTTGGTTCTGTTGCTCTTCCCTTGCCTTAAGTCATTTCCCTGGTGAGTCATTTCATGGAGTCTCAAAGCAAGTCGTGTTTCCAAGTGCTCCAAAACCCCAGCAGGAAAGAAAGGAGGGAGCAGGGCCTGGCCACAGAGACCCTCCATGTCTGCTTGTCCCAGCACCCAGGGAGGCTCCCGCCTTCCCTCCCCTCCCGTCCCGCCAAGGAAGGCTGGATCTCACCGTCAGAGATATTGTCCCAGTAAGGGGCCAGGAACTCGAAGTGGCCCTGCTGGATGATGTTGAAGAGCTCATCCTGATCCCTCTCGGGGCTGCGGAAGGGGGGGAAGCCGCACAGGAGGATGTACAGGATCACGCCCGCAGCCCACAGGTCCACCTCCAGCCCGTAACCTGTGCCAAAGGAGGCAGACACGGGTAAGAATGAAAGCCACATGTGATGGGACCGATGGAGGGAAATGTTAGGTGCAGGTCACAGGGATGGCCGCTCTCAGAAGGATCCACTGTCAAAACTAGTCCTAGTGTCCAGCTCCTGCAAATGTGGTGCCTACTCCCGTGTAGACTGATCCCAGGACTACTTGACTTCCTTATGATGGGAGTCTGTTCAAACAAGCTCAGAAATGAAGAGTACGCAATTGGACATGGCCATAAGCTCCCACTGTGGGATCATCAGCTGCATCTCCCTGAGCACCACAGAGCTGATGAAAGAAACATTCTCAGGTACTGAAATCCTCCTTTGAATATTCCATTAATGTCCACGTGCAAACGCAGTACAAACTCACTTACTCAGATCTAGGACAGTTCCTTATTGAAAAAATAGCAACTACGAAAGGTCAGATATCTGCCACTGAAAGAGCCAGCATCCCACAGAGGATTGGCAACTCACCTTTCTCAGAAAGAATTTCAGGAGCCACGTAGGTCGGGGTTCCGCACACAGTAAATATAGGTCTCACCACATGTTTTGCAAGGCCAAAATCGGCCAGCTTCAAGGTGGTAGATTTATCCTCATTTCGCTGAACCTGGAAGAAAACAAAATTCTCAAACCACTGAGACTTGTGAAGAGAACAAAGAAGACTTGTTTCCCCACCCAAAGCTCTGTCTCTGTCAGGGAGAGGAGCAAGTTTCTCTCCGAGCACAAACTGAACCATTGAACCCACCAGCGCACAGAGCGGGTGGAAAGATACATTCTGCAACCGTGGCAGCATTGACGGCCTGCAGGGTCATCTGTCTCCTGCAAAAGGGGCAGCTTGGCCAATTCCACAGTCAAATCCAGTCGCATGCTCTTCCTAAGGAAAAGGACCACGCTGGGACTCCCAGGGGTCTCAAGCTGGAGGAGATTCTAGTCCCAGCAGAGTTCCTGACCGTGGGTCTGAACTGAACGATGATGCTCAGCTTGAGTGAGGGGGCAGGTGAGGGAGCAGCATTTGGCCTCCAGAATCCTGGTCAGAGCCTCTTTCTCCCTCCGGGTCCGGGCTGGCCTGAGACAGAAGCTGAGTTTCAGGTACAAATGCAAATGGGGAAAGAGCAACCGAGGAAGGCAGAAGCAATTTCCCCCCACAGAAACCTTTCCCTAGTAGCGGGTGAGCTTGCAGCCTGCAAGTCTGGCCAGCGCGCTCACAGAACTAAAGTGTAGAGACCTCTTGCCACCTCTTCTACTTTCTCCCCCGGCACATGGCCTGGCCTGAAGGGCAGGGAGGGAGAAGGGGATGATCAGAAGCAAAGGAGTAGAACAGAGGGCACTGAGGATCATGTGACACGGAACATAAGTTCCCTACTAAAGAAACCCATGATAGGTACCGTATTGTACCATGTAGATGTGGAATCTAGAAAAAAAAAAGAGTGAAGTTTATAGAAACAGAAAAGATCAGTGGTGGGAGAGGGAGCGGGAAAAGGAAGGGAGAGAGCCTGGTCAGAGGCCTCGTATGTTGGGTAAATGGTGGACAATGTCTGGGGCTGGGTAACAGTGCAATAGTTAGGGCATATGCTCAGTGAGCGGCTCCATTCTTGGCACCACGTGGTCCCTGAGCATCACCAGGTGTGACCCTGGAGGCCCCCCAGGCACCACCAGGGTACCCCCACACACAGGGCCTGAGCAGCACCACATCCTCTGGCCCTTGCAGTGAACCTCTGACTCTGTTGGTTGAGACTCACCAGGGGAGGGACCCTGAAGTACTCAGGGGTGAGGACCTCTTAGAAGTCCCTCCAAAAACATTAATATATATATATGAAAACTTCTGAGAAACTAATATACTACATGAAGCTATACTACTACTACTATAGGCATAAACTTTTCTAAGACTGTAGCTTTTTTTTTTTAATTTTTATTAGTGAAACACCATGAGGTAGAGTTGTAGACTTACAAAGTTTTGTGCTTGGGTTTCAATTATGCAATGATCAAGTACCCATCCCTCTACCAGTGCCCATTTTCCATCACCACTGATCCCAGTCTCCCTCTCAGCCCCAATCCCTCCCCCTCCCCCCGCCAAGAATGTAGCTCTTAAGCACTGGGGGGAAAAATGAGGTAAGAGAGAGATGATCCACGTTCCACACCCATGAAATCAAATCAAATCATCCCCATGCAAATTTCAATGTGGTGGAATACTGCCAATTATACCACATAGAGCTGAAGGGGGAGAGAAATTAACGGATCGCTAAAAAACATAAGCCTGGTTAAATAAGAATTAAATTAATTTCCACTACCACCCAGGAAAGTTCTCAAAACCTTTACCTTCCACTAAATTAACAAAAACTGGAAGCAGCCAGCGGCAGCCTCTATTGCTGCCTTTATCTTGAATCCAACCTGGACTTTGAGGAAGAAACTCCACAACACCCAGAGGGACCATTCCTGGAGATGCTGGCATTGCCCGGGGAGCCACGCACTTTTTAGAATGAAGAGGAGAATCCAGGTGCCAGGGCCTGCTTGGGCACTGCAGGTGGCCCACCTCTCTGGCCCACCCTCCTCTGGTCCCTTGGAGACATCTGGAAGAAACCTCCTTCCTTCTTCCAAAGGAACCAGCCCTTGACTAGAAGACCCAGTCACAGATCCCCGTTACCAGCACAGACTCTTGGGGTCAGAGAGATAGTACAGCAGGTAAGGCGCCTGCTTTGCACGCGGTATAACCTGGTTCAGTCTGCATCCATCTGGTCTCCTGAGCCCCACCAGGAGTGACTCTTAAGCACAGAGGCAGGAGTAAGCCCTGAGCATCCGTGGGTGTGGCTTCCAAACAAAACAACAAGCAATGAGCTCCCTTCACCGTAGAACCTGCAAGCACATGCCAGCTCTGTGCCTCAGTTCCCTTCGCTGCCATGTTGGCATGTGATTGACCCTCTAGGCCTGTTGGGAGGACTCAATGAGTAAACACTCGTTAGGCATTTTCAGGAGTGCCTGGCACCTAAGAGGCATGACCTGAGTGTTAAGTAAACTGCATTAGTTCAGCCTCCCCTCTGAAGGGCAGGGTGACTATCAAGGAAAGTGAGAAGGACAGCCAAGTGAGTGCTGGTCACTTTCTGCTCCTGCTTTAAGAGCACCTCACTGGGCCCCTCCTCATCAGACCCTCTATCAAGCCTGACCTGGTCCCACCTATACTGGCAATGCCTGATCTCTGCCCTACTCTCACCTGCCACATCCTGTTCCAAGATTTATAGCAACGAATGATGGAGAAACTTCATTGCTACAGAAAGCAGAGCACAGGTTCCCAATGCTCCCAACAGCCACCAGGGGAAAAGGTGGGGGGACTCAGCTTCTCCCTGTGCCCCAGATGGTCAATGAGCACTGAGATACCCCAATACGGCAGGTGCCCCCATTCTCCAGTCTTCTCTGAGTAGAGTATCCCTCAAAATGTGATTCCCGTCAGGAGCTTACCCCTCTGGAAGCAGAACATGTTTTAATTCCTGAGCCTGGGTCACCGCCAAGCTATCGAATCACATCTCCATAATTAACCGAACCCACATGGAATCCCATCGATTCCGTTTTGGTCTGCGCGTAGAGACAGACACCACCCAATAGGAAACAGGGGAGGTAATTAACAAATAATTTAGACTAGAAAGTCTAGTTGGGAGGGAAAGGACAGAAAAAAAAACATAGTGTGGTGCCTAGAATCTCCAGATGGATCATCTGCATTCATTGCATTTTCTGGGTAATTGCTGAGAAAAAAATAAGTCCCTCACAAATATTTGCAAATATGAAGCACTTGGCTGATTTAATACACCAATATAAATTGTGCATTGCTGTGTGAAATAGTTAACTACTCACTCCCTTCCTCACAGACCCTCCAACCCCCCCCACCTCTCTCTCTCTCTCTCTCTCTCTCTCTCTCTCTCTCTCTTTTCCAAAATCTGCAGGGAGGCAGCAGCAGTTGAAACATGGCAGAAACCCAACCTTTTATCTCTGAAATGAGTTTATGTCCAAAGGCCAGCTACTGATGGATGCATTTTCAAATATCAAATATGCCAACCTGCTGCTTCTGTTCTATGGGGGTTGAGACTGCAGAGTTCAGTCTGGCAGGAGGAAGGCAGACAGCAGGTCTGCACCCAGCAGGATAGCAGGCGGGAGGCAGTGCCAGGGGTAACTTGGGGTGTCCCTCGAACACTCTCTCTTCAGTCCCCAAATCCTTGGATCAAATGGTTCTGTGGCCTTTATGAATCAGAGGACCCCTCTCCACAGTCTAGCATTTCTCACTAAGCCACGACTGTGCCCAAGGCACCACTGACCAAAGAAAAGAACCCAGCAGGTAGAATCCTCAAAGAGCCCTTCCAGAAGCTTTCTGGCAATTCATTTCTCTGCCTACAGCCTCTCCTACCAGGACTTCGATGACTTTCCTCAGTGCTGACATTGTGACTCAGGGTGAGTGAGTGTGTGTGTGTGTGTGTGTATGGGCGGGAGAGGAGAGAATATGAGGTGTGTGTGTGTGTGTGTGTGTGTGTGTGGTGAGTGTGAGTATGGAGTGAGTATGTGTGTGTAAGTGTGTGAGGAGGTGTATGTGAGGGGAGGGCTGTGTGAGAGTATGTGTGATTGTGTGTATTAATGTGTGAGTGTGGAGGGGGTGTGGTGTGAGTGTATATATGTGTGTGAGTGGTGTGTGTGAATGTGTGAGTGTATATGTGTCAATGTGTGAGTGTGGAGGGGGTGTGGTATGTGTGAGTATATGTATGTGTGTGAGTGGTGGTGTGTGTGTGTGGAGTATGTGTGTGTCAGTCTGTATGTGTACAGAAGGGAGTTCATCATCTATCTCAGTCACATCAGCAATATCTCGTTATTTCAAGTCCCGTACTGACTATGGTTTGTTTAACAGGCACCTCACATTCTTGGCTTCTGAACTTCCTCTTCCTCTGAGAAATCAAGCAAGTGGTCTATTTCTGGAACAATTCTTCCTTCTAGAATCTGTGGGACTTTTTAACTCATCCCAGTGGAACCTCCACCCAAAAGGGCAGCTTCTGTCAGACATCCTGCACCAGACTCAGGTGGTCTCAGAGGGGCAGCTTGTGAGGAAGGCCGCCCCATGCCCTGCGGCCACCACCCCATGACCAATAGCTGGACCTGAGCATCGCACTAGTCGTATGCGGGTTCAGAATACTATCCCACTCCTGTTCCCCAAGTCCTCCCTGAGGGTGACATCAAATAAGGACACAAGGATGGGGAACAGCTGCATGACCCACCGGGCCACCTAGGGGGCTCTCGAAGCTCACACTGGAGAAGCTGCCGCCTCACTCACCTCCAATGCTCTGCCCACTCTCCTGCCAGGGCGCTGCTCTGGGCTCCCTCTCTCCCTCTCGCTGAAGGTCCCAGGGAACATGTGCAGTAAAGCTGCAAATGTGCAGTAAATGTCATAGTAAAGCTGTATTCACCTCCCCCTTTCCCAGTGACACCACGGTGCCCTGCTTTGAGTCCAGAAAAACCCAAATCATTTACATGATTTTTTTTTTTGGACATCTGGACGGCCTCAACACTTTAAGAGAACATTCAGTTCCTTGTCTCCACCAAGGAACAGAAGAGCGACTTAAATGTGATCATGCCCTTTTC